ATCTTTATCATATAGCATTTTTTCCCCATTTTTTAAACACTTTCTGCCCTGTGCACTAAGAAGACCTTTCTTTCCATATCCATCATGGGTTTGGCCAGGACAACAATATGAACAGACAGGTGATGAGATATGAAACCCAACATATCCAAGACTGACTGTCCATAAAAAATTCCTGGGCAGTTGCTTATCCAAATTTGATCCTGGGACCCAGAGCAATAAGCTGACACCTTAATCATCTCAGCCATCTGGCTATCAACATCTTATACTAATATCTTTATTACCAAAATTGATTCAGCAAAAAAATTGGAAATATTCATTCTTCATTAAATTTATGATTATAAATCAATCATTTCATTTTTTTCTTTTTATTAATATAATAAATAGCAAAATACAATTAAAAAATGCAGCTTATACGCATTAATTTTATTTCAAACTAAACCAGTTAGATTTATTTTGAAAAGCTTAAATCATCAAAAACTGATATTAACCATCAAATTCATTTTTCTGAAGAGTTAAGAAAACTCCTCAAAAAAATGAATTACACTTTAATGAATTCCTCTTTGAACATGAAGTCGGCCGATTTAGGCTGACTTCGTGTTTAGAGAGTTAAAGAATAAAAATTCAAAAGGCAATAGAATGTTCCAATGACTATACAAAAATCTATGGTTAATATGCTAACATGAATTACATACAGTATATATCTGAAGCACAAAAGTTATAGCTAATAGATAAACGTCTGCAACATTTCCATATAATCACATTAAGGAAAACAGCAAAGTAAATATAAATATATAAGAGTATAGAGAATCAAAACACTATTAAAAGATAATCTTATGAAAAATTTTTTAATCATGCAGCAAAACTATTAACAGCTGTTTGTCATGTAATTCTGAAATCTTTCAAGAGCATGACTTTTCTGTAAGGTAGGAGTGTACCTNATGCAGCAAAACTATTAACAGCTGTTTGTCATGTAATTCTGAAATTAATGTTTATGAAAATTTTTTAAAGCATTCTTATTATGTATTAATAACTGATTTAAATAGTTCTATCAGTTGACAATGTATTTTGGTAAAATTTTAAAATGTCAAAAGATGTTTGCTTCTAAAGTTTAGTCAGTAAAGATATTTGTTCTTAATTAATAAAATTATAAAAAAAACTTTTGTGATATTTATTTTTATAACAATAAATTTTATTTTAATATTTATCAGCTGAAATCAAAAACAATCTAGCAGGAGTGGAGATAAAATAAAAAAACTTTTTCAGAAACAGATAAAGTTTACAGACTAGATCATTAGAAATTAAATTTTAGAAAGAGAGAAATGTATTTTCAAAAGTACAGTAATTTAAGACTTTAGTTTAAATTACTGTACTTTACTTAAATTTAAGACTTTAGTCTTAAATTACTGTGCATCAAATAATGTAAAGTCTCTATAACAGAAAGAAGTGTAATTTGGAGCAGCATCCTACAATTAAAGAGAGAGAAAGGAAGAAATTGTTAAAGTCTGAGAGAAATTCATTATAGAGATTTAAACTATATTTTATTTAGAATCAAATAAAACTTGCATACTATCTTTATAGAGATAATTGCCCTAAACAATAATCATATTTATTTTATTTAAATTTTTTCATGAACTAAAAAGTGCTCTTGTATTGTAATTTGCATATAAATTTTAACCAAACTAAATAGCCTGATAGTTCAGTTNGTGAAATGAAATAGAATTATTAATTTATAAAACAATTTATAAATACATATATTAAGATAAAAATTGATATTCAGTTGAAACATGCCAACAATGTTTAAAATGTAAAAATGAAAACAGTTCAAATATATATATTTTTTCGTTTTATTATTTAAATTACAAAAAAATGAAAATGTTATAAATTAAATAAAGATAAGAAAAGGATATTAAATATTTTCTTACCTTGCATAAAAACTTTGATGGTGAATGAATTGTTGTAGTATATTGAATTGATATATATATAAAATGATGAAATGAATGCCACAATATATAAATAATGGGACTTTAAATATAGTATATTTATACTGAAATAATAGATTTAAATTCCAAGCTAACAAAGTACATATTGCAAAGAATGATAAAAAATATACAAAAGAAATAACAGATGGTTGTAAACTTGCAGTAGTTATCATAAATACAAGAGTTAATATTTCATTTAAAATAAAAGATAATCCTGAAGTTTGTCTGATTTTTAAGGTGTTTTGGTATTTACCTCTTTCAAGACATTTACAAATTATTAAGATGAAAATTGAGAGTAAAAGTACTAAAAGATCTAGTCCAATCAAACGAATGGCATGTAACAAGTCAAGCTGATCAAGTCTATTTAATCCTATTAATCCAAATAAATAGCCATCCCATTTACCTGCAAAAGTTGTTGTTATTATTTTTTAAGTCATATAATTTATAAAATTATTATTTATTAATAAACTAATAAACATATTTAAACAGTTTAAAAAATTAACTTACCATCATAATAATTATAGTTGCCACATAACTTCTTTTAAATATAAATTTACAAAAAAAGTTAGCAAACAAAACTGTTTTTTCATGTACTCGTTTTTCAGTTTTTATAGTTTGAGTATTTTCATTAGTTTCATTATTACTATGCACTTCAAGGTTTACTATAGAAATGTCCTCTCTCGTATTATCAAATGACTTATGCTGATCTGATACTTGTTTTGAATTACGTGAATTTTCAATGCATTCATTTCTTAAAAACTTAAATAAAAAAAAAAAGACTTAATATAATAATTATAATTTTATATTAAGGAATGTAACGTATTAGATATATTTATAAAAATTAAAAAAATTTATTAAGTATTAAATTAAGTGTCTCAAAAAATATTTTTAGTTATTTTTTAAAATTTTATTATTTTTGAAATATTTGTCAATAACTTTAAAAAAATAATAAAATGTTTTTCTTCACAAAAAATTCAATGCAATAATATAACAGAAGCTGATTAGTCATCTGCTTTTAAAATTATTACAGCAGTGCCTCCTACTTCAAATTTAATTCATTCCAGAAGACTGTTTGAACTCTAAAGAAGTTTTTCCCCCATTAGAAATAATGGAAGCAAATTAATACATTTCCAGACCCTAAACAATACCCTTTTCAATAAACTTAAAACAGCAAATACACATAATTTAAGGNTTCCCAAGTCGAACTTAGACGAGAGTGACGTATATCCGGTGTGTCGAACTGTCGCCTTTTTATAGCGTCAACATCGGACTCGATGACCAATTAGTGCTTACTGAACCGTAGCACTATGCAAATGTGATGTGACGTGATTCCCGGCCGACCAATTAGCCATCACAAACCTTCTCGGCCCCCGAAATGTTCGGTGAAAAAAATATGGCCCGCGGGCTATGATAAGTTGGACAGCGCTGTATTAGATATATTTATAAAAATTAAAAAAATTTATTAAGTATTAAATTAAGTGTCTCAAAAAATATTTTTAGTTATTTTTTAAAATTTTATTATTTTTGAAATATTTGTCAATAACTTTAAAAAAATAATAAAATGTTTTTCTTCACAAAAAATTCAATGCAATAATATAACAGAAGCTGATTAGTCATCTGCTTTTAAAATTATTACAGCAGTGCCTCCTACTTCAAATTTAATTCATTCCAGAAGACTGTTTGAACTCTAAAGAAGTTTTTCCCCCATTAGAAATAATGGAAGCAAATTAATACATTTCCAGACCCTAAACAATACCCTTTTCAATAAACTTAAAACAGCAAATACACATAATTTAAGGTAAAAATATCACAATTAAATGTCCCAATAATAAATTAAAACACAAAAACAATAAATAAAATACATAAATAATATATAATAAAGTGAAAATTGTATTTACTGGTTGCATACCATCAACTTTGGCATCTTAAACATGGCCACCAGATTTGCCACATATACAGTACATTGCTTTCATGCTTACAAGTTCCTTTTTCATCTTAGTCTTTTTCAAGCCTTCCTCTTACTAGTTACACTTTGTTTCTTCCATACATTTCTCAGATAGCATAATTAATAAGTAAAAGTTATATTTGTTAAACAGGTATTTTTTTACAGTTGGGGTTACTTAACATAGATGTGTAATTTAATTATAACAGTTGTGAATTTTAACACATTATTGCTAATTGGAGATTATATTCTTTGTTCAGAAGCTAATTTTACATTTCCAGTGTATTATTCATTCAGTGCACAGTTCAAACTGTGAAGCATTGTTTCAACTCTAAAGCAAATTTTTGTTGAATTTGGTGTTTGAATTCTGAAGCATTTAAAGTTAGAGTTGTTCAAAGTATAAGGTACCACTGTATAAGGTATTTTGTTTTATAAATGTTCTGAAAACTAAATTAACACTAAAATAAACTTTTCTCCCCTAAATTTCAATGAATCATTCATAAGATATATTTATTTGTTATGAAAATCAATAAAACAAAAAGTTGATTCTGACCAAAAAATTCAAAAATGTTCAATTCTATTTGTATTTTATAACTTTATAACTATTTAAATCTATATATTTATATGGTATAATATAATTCTAAAAGTAATTACCATTGGATTAAGTATCCTTATGCGAAACGTTGTTACAAGTGTAAAATATAAACATATTAGTGCCAAAGGATGTATAAGAGTACTCCAATTTAGATTTAAATATTGTAAAATTCGAACATTATTACAATTTAAATCAATGTACCTAATAAGGCCAAATAATCTAAAAGTGAAATGAAATAGAATTATTAATTTATAAAACAATTTATAAATACATATATTAAGATAAAAATTGATATTCAGTTGAAACATGCCAACAATGTTTAAAATGTAAAAATGAAAACAGTTCAAATATATATATTTTTTCGTTTTATTATTTAAATTACAAAAAAATGAAAATGTTATAAATTAAATAAAGATAAGAAAAGGATATTAAATATTTTCTTACCTTGCATAAAAACTTTGATGGTGAATGAATTGTTGTAGTATATTGAATTGATATATATATAAAATGATGAAATGAATGCCACAATATATAAATAATGGGACTTTAAATATAGTATATTTATACTGAAATAATAGATTTAAATTCCAAGCTAACAAAGTACATATTGCAAAGAATGATAAAAAATATACAAAAGAAATAACAGATGGTTGTAAACTTGCAGTAGTTATCATAAATACAAGAGTTAATATTTCATTTAAAATAAAAGATAATCCTGAAGTTTGTCTGATTTTTAAGGTGTTTTGGTATTTACCTCTTTCAAGACATTTACAAATTATTAAGATGAAAATTGAGAGTAAAAGTACTAAAAGATCTAGTCCAATCAAACGAATGGCATGTAACAAGTCAAGCTGATCAAGTCTATTTAATCCTATTAATCCAAATAAATAGCCATCCCATTTACCTGCAAAAGTTGTTGTTATTATTTTTTAAGTCATATAATTTATAAAATTATTATTTATTAATAAACTAATAAACATATTTAAACAGTTTAAAAATTTAAGAATTAGATCTAAACAAATGGAACAAAAACATTAGAAGATTTTTCATTTAAATATTAAATTTTTTAGAAATCTGTATCTAATGAAAACTGATAGCACTTTTATTTTAATCAGTCAATCAAAATTTTACTAAAATAATAAGTACAGTACCTGTCCATATTGCAGGGAGTAAAAAGCAAAAATTATATGTAAGTTTTATATTAAAGCAAAGACAAGCTTAACTTGTAGAGCAAAGAATTACATTGAAGTTAAAAAAAGTCAGTGATAAACTTGTTAATTTGAAAAATGTAGTAGTCAAACCTCAGTTTTCAAACAATTCATTCCTGAAAGTTGTTCTAAAACCAAAACAAATTTTACCATAAGAAGCAATATAAAATGGTTTAATCCATTCCTGACCCCAAAATAAAGCCTTGTGGTCTGAAGACCACATGTGTCTGTTGTGTAACCAGCCCCTTGGATGAGCCACAGTGTAAAAAAGGAATGGGTATTTCTGTGGTCTTCAGACCACATTTTTTGAAACTTTTTTAATTGTATTCATTACCTTTCTAAAAAGGTGTTCATTAAAAGTTCTTGCATTTAATTAATACTGTTAAATATAATGCTGAATGCCAATTGTGTACTAATGAGAAATAATAAAATTATATTTAATAATAAAGTTTTTGTCATTTAATTTGATTATGTATCATTAAACAAAAATTCTTGGATGCCATTTATATTACATCAGTGGCATGCCGTCCTTGAAAGCAGTGGAAGTGCCGCTTTCCTTGTATTTTCTAAAATATGACGACATATTGTGCAATTACCTGTATTTTCATATTTTAATGCACTTTGAATTAATTAAAATTAATATTTTATTATAACCACATTATGTATCTTATTACAAATTTCTATACTACATGTGAAAAAAACGATACGAATTGCTATTGTATATTTGAATATCGGTGGTGGAATGAAGCACTGTATTGTTGAATACGGGACAGCTTCCAAGAAGCCAGATTATACACATTTGCGCATGCACTTTACAGTGCACCAACCTCATGCAAAGCTACACACCAAAATATTGTATAACACTTCCAATAATTCTCTCCAGGATCAGTTCTGGGCTGTTAGCCGCCTGCCTGCTAGATATTTGGCTGCCCTCGCCCCATTATGTGAATCGCTAGTAGATTTATAACTTAATCGAACCAATAGTAATTTATTCGTATGTTTTTATGATAGTTCTGTATAGTTGACAGGAGTTTTAAAAAATCCATTAAAATATTTGATATATTTATTCTGAATAAAAATAATAAGTTTACATGGCCAACGATTACTTAATATTAGTATAATAAATATAAATACAACTTTTTTACAAAGAAAAATTCTTTGTTTCAGTCATTTTTTCGTTGTTTGCACCATCAGCAGAACCATTGCATTTTAACTACGGAGGTAGTAGCCTAAAAAGGAAGGTCGTCTCCGTGAGTATTTGTGTTTTTTATGAACTGCTGATGGTGCAACAACAAAAAAATGACTGAAACAAAGAATTTTTCTTTGTAAAAAAGTTGTATTTATATTTATTATACTAATATTTATTCTGCTTTTATTATGCTCTCCCATTTTGTATTACTTACACTAGTGATATTACGATTTAGTATCTCCCAGCTATAAGGGGATGCAGAAAAAAACATTGCACAATTCTTGTACAATGTTAAAAAACTAAATGTTACTTTGGCAGCATCATTTACAACTAAATTTAATAAATGAGATGCACAAGGTACAGAAAAAGCTATAGAATTTATTTTCCTTAAATTTATGATTTATCTATCTGTTGTCATAAAAATTTGTCTTTCCACTTCTTTCCCAAGACTGCAAATATTCAAGTACAAGTAACCGGTTTCAACTTATTTTTACTTGAGTAGTTAAATAATTAAGAGATTATGGAATTAGGAACATAAATAAAACCCTGCTGAAAGAGTTGGAAGTTCACTTAAACAAAAGCTTAACCGAACCAATCTCTAGCCAAGACAATGGGGACTGATTTTGTTATAATATTAGATGTAATAAAGACAGAAATCTTTCCAGTTTAATGAGAGTGACTGAAAAGTTGTAAATTTTGGAAATTTCCGTGGACATCTGGTCCTAAAACGTATTAGAAAACAAACAATGAACAATCTATTAAGTTTAACATATTGAGATTTTAATTAACTAACAGCTATGGCAAAAAGCATTTAAAATTTACAACAACCGTGTTGTGTCCTTTGAGGTATAATAGTGATGCGACAAAAGAGGCATTTGACATTGACCAGTATGAGCACCCTCGGGATTTGGCAGTCTGCATGTATGCACGCACTGCAACCTACTCTGATTCCATCCATTAGCTGCTCATAGGGAGCTATTTGACTAAGTGGAATGTTTTAAGATTTAAAAAGTAAAGAATATTTTATGTTATTTTTATGTACATTTCTTNTTTAATGAATGAGATGCACAAGGTACAGAAAAAGCTATAGAATTTATTTTCCTTAAATTTATGATTTATCTATCTGTTGTCATAAAAATTTGTCTTTCCACTTCTTTCCCAAGACTGCAAATATTCAAGTACAAAGTAACCGGTTTCAACTTATTTTTACTTGAGTAGTTAAATAATTAAGAGATTATGGAATTAGGGACATAAATAAAACCCTGCTGAAAGAGCTGGAAGTTTACTTAAACAAAAGCTTAACCGAACCAATCTCTAGCCAAGTACAATGGAGACTGATTTTGTTGATGTAATAAAGACAGAAATCTTTCCAGTTTAATGAGAGTGAATGAAAAGTTGTAAATTTTGGAAATTTCTGTGGACACCTGGTCCTAAAACGCATTAGAAAACAAACAATGAACAATCTATTAAGTTTAACATAATTAGATTTTAACAGCTATGGCAAAAAACATTTAAAATTTACAACAACCGTGTTGTGTCCTTTGAGGTATAATAGTGATGTGACAAAAGACATTACCAGTATGAGCACCCTCGGGATTTCGCAGTCTGCATGTATGCACACACTGCAACCTACTCTGATTCCATCCATTAGCTGCTCATAGGGAGTTATTTGACTAAGTGGATTGTTTTAAGATTTAAAAAGTAAAGAATATTTTATGTTATTTTTATGTACATTTCTTTACAAAGTTATATTTAATTATCATTNCAGTACATCCACCATATATTTTATTTCACCGAGTAAGTTTTTATTATTTTATTTTTAATTGTAGCCCTTATATCATGGCTAGTGATTCAGAATGTAATTGTGATATTAAAAATACATTTAGAGAAGTCTACGGTTTTTACTGGTTTATCGAACAAACAAATACGAATGGATCCTAGACCATCACTGATGCGCAATTAACTGATTACCCCTGGAAGTCTGCTTCTTACAGAAATATAGCTTCCCTATCATAAAATGTCACTGCATGCCACTGTATTACATGAATGTCAATTAACATAGTTTTTATAAATTAATTTGATTTAAATTCAATTATGGCATGCACTGAAGAACATAATTAGTATCTTCCATACATGTGCATTAAAATCTAATTTAAATAGATAGCAACATTATTGATGATTCATGTTGTGATGTCTAATGATGCAAGGCAATCTCAGCAAAACTAACTTCTGAATTAGTAGTCCTGTCACTGATTGGTCAGGCCATCGACTTTAACATAGGAAGTATAGGGAATTGATCATCTGTTTCTCTAACCTATGGCTGGCTGGCTCTTGCCGAGTAGCTCGTTTGGCAACCAAATTATCGTTTGGCAATTGGTGCAATTATGAGTTCAAAATTCTGTTCATAAACCAGTTTGTTTGAAAACTGAGGTTTGACTATATTCTGATATGAAATTTTTTAAATAATAAAAATAGAACAGTTGGCTATTGTGTACTTTTTCATTTTGCATATGTGATTTTGCAGTAAAAACACAATCGTCATCCAAAGTTGGTTTATTACAGATAATAGATGTATGTTTTCTTCTAGTGGACGGTATGTTATTAAGTCTTGGCTAAGCAACAAGATCAACCATCTCTGGTTGGGGATCAAATTAAACATCAATTTTGATCTCTCCTGTGATCTAAGCTGATATTTCATTACAGTTAGTAATGAGTTATCAACCTCTTAGAAAGTGAGAATAAGAAAAAGCAACCAATCAGAATGGGTAATTGAGGATAGAAATGAATAAAAACCCAAAAATTCAAGGACATGACAGCTTTTTCTCCCGAAAGTTCAAAGTGTCAGACCAATTGTTGTGTGTGTGTCTCGTGCCCATCTTTGTCTCTGGTCCTCAGATGGACATCTTTCCATCACCAGAAGTCAACCACATCATCGCAGAGTAGTTGAGATGTCAAGGAAATTGTCATTCATGAACCAGGGACACTCCTCCTTTTGGGACTATCTTGGAAAGGAGAGGAAGACCTAAAGGCCGCTGCTGACTTAGAACTTCCAAGATCACGAAAATCTTGTAAGCTCCTTTCATATCAAATAAACAGTTTCTTGTAATTGTAGTCTGTCTCAGGAGTGCCATTTGCCCACATATGACCCTTTGCGATCCCTCAAACCTCTTGACTTTTCCACCCGTCGACAACTTTACAAAATAATGGATTTATACCAGGGATGGTATACACCCATTAGGGTGGGAGATGAGGATAAGCTTTTTAATATCAGAGAGTTGGAAAAGATTTTGTAGTTGTTGCCTGAAAATAGAACAAATGTCAGCAAAGTGAATGGAGATCATTTGCCTTTTTTCTTGTAAACTCACTACAGCCAAACACAGGTAGAGTGCCTATAACAGAACTCTTGGGTTTGTACTGTTAATTAGGTATTTCAGGCCCATGATGAAAGACTGCATTTGTTCAATTTTCATAGATAATAAATTGCTTATTTATACATTTGCAGATAAGCATGACAAGTGTTCTTCCTGGTAGCTAAGTTAGACTTTATCTCTCAGTTCCCCCCAGATATTCATCATATTAAAGGGAAAGAATACACCACTATTCCCTAAAAGTGCATTAATTTCATAAAACATAAGCTAAATAAATAAAAAAACAAATAAACTTAAATACATACAATAATTGATAAATGATCCATAAGATCCTAAGCTGATTAAAACAACTTGAAAAATAACTTGGAAAATGCAAAACAAAGCACTTATTCCTATAACACATTTTAGATAACATCCAGTATAACCTAAAAAAATTTCAACATATTTCATTATTTCTTAATCACATATAAAATTAATATATAGAAATATTTTATTATATTATAGTATATCTATATTATCCTATCTATTGTGTCTGTGTGTGTATAATAAACATATTGTATGATCTAATCATATACAGAAAAGTTCTGCTTTTATATATCTGCAGCAAAAGTCATTTATTGGTACATTTTCAAATTTGACATATTTATAAAGGAGATAATGAAAAAATGATTTATATAAAAGAAGAAAAAAAATTTGAAATTCATCACATGATTATAAATAATGCTTTAACTTGTATATTGTTTATCTTTTGATTGCAAAGAAATGTAAAAAATGCAAAATTAGAACCTTTCTATATAATATAAATGACAAAAATTAACAAATTTCATTAACAAATACAAATTAGTTATGAAAGCAAATCTTATGTGTGTTATAGTTATATATAAAATGTGGATCACATGAAAACTTAACAAAAATTTTAATTAGCTTTCAAAGCCTGAATATTAATTTTTCAGCACAACACAGATAGTAATCACAATGTTGTAAAAATTATACTAATATTAAAAATTAAAAGGAATAAACTACATTGGAATAATATATAATAAAGTAGTATTACTCAAATTTTTTACTCAGTGAAAAATTGTTAGTGAATAATACTGTGAAAAATTTTTCTGGTGCAAATCAATATATTAATGTATTGATATTTTAAATTATAAATAGCTACTATACTATAGGACTATAACCAATTTAGCTATTACTCTATCATGAATATAGTAAATCTTCGTACAAAATTTTTAATATATATTTTCATAATACTGTATTTGTGGTCATTTAGCCATCTCTTGCAGTACTGTTTGAGAACCACTATAATAGAGAATAAAATTTTGAAATTTTCCTCTAAAAACTATTCATTTATTCACAAAAATATCTATCCCAGTCTAATAAATAATCTTTTACTTTCCTGGTTCTGTTATATGTAACAAAGGAAAAGTTGGCAATTAGTCAAAACATGACCTCCCAAGATTTTCACACTTTTGGACTTGGGACCTTAAAACGTTGAGAAATGAAAAAGACTTCAGAGTATTTTTTTATACATAAGGATGTCTGAAAGGGGGCACAATTTTTCTCACCTTGAAAGTTAATAACTCCCATGCTTAATGTCAAAAAATTTCTAAAAATTTGCAGAGAAATTTATATATTAGGGGAATTGATGCTATTAAATTTTGGTGGTTAAAGGTCAAAGGAGTGGGGAGATATAGAAGGGTAGTGTGTTGTATTTTGAGAAGAATTAGACTTGATGAAGATTTTACTCATTAATGACATTTACAGTTTTTTATAAAACTTATCCCTATCTTCAAAATTAAGCTTTTTGCCATTTGAAAATAATTAATTATATAAGTTTTTTTTAATAAAATATAACAATTGCACCACAGGCAAAGTTTTTGGAAAGTGTTGCTAGATTTTTATTTTGTTGTGATTCTTTAACTAATTACATAAAATTATTCCTAAGTCTCTTTCATTACCTTTATAAATATATCAAATTTTACACTTTGTAATAAACACATACATTGAAGAAACATAACAGTAAGTGAACTTTAATATAACATTATTTCTACACAAATTTAATATTAAATTGATAACATTTATTAACATTAATTAATAATATAAAATTTGAAATCTTACAAACCTTTAGTAAAAGCCAATGAACTAGGTATTAAAGGTGCCAACAATAATAAAATTATGTAGATAATTGAGAATGCATTGTATCGCAATATTCCAGCTAATAAAAAATAAATAATAATTGTCACTAAGTATTTTAATATTATGTTTTACTTATATTATTATACCAATGTGTAAGTCTGATACAAAATAAGTATCAGTTTATTAAGTGATTGTTTATTTTTATAATACATTAATTTATACAGTACATAAGTAAATATGTAGCCTATATTACTCTTCAGTTTAGTTTGTTTATACTTAAACACAATTCATTTTTAATATATATTTAATTAAAGTTTACTGTATATTTATATTTAGTTAAAGTTTATTTAATACTCTTTATTGTATCTTTCTGTATTTCTATCTGTATTTAATGCTATAATATTTCTGATAAGAATTTTACTATTACAATTTTCTAAGTTGATATTTTTATAGATTTTAAAATTTTATAACTTGTATTTTATTATTATTTTAATTTTTCTTATATTGTGAATTTTTGTGTGGCTTAAACAGATTAAAAAAACTATCTGCCTTTCAAATGTATACTTATTAATATACAAGTCTATATCTGGTATATCCAGGATTTTGAGAATATGGATACTGCTCAAGGCATATTCAGGGAAAGCAAGGTATGTGTTCTGTGTTGTTTTTTTGGAGAATATTACTCAAATACCTTAAAATTACATTAGTTATCTAATCTTATCTATTTTTAGTCATTATACATGTAATATGCATTATTATATCTATTTTTATTTTAGTGTAACAAAACTGGAGCATTGATATCAAGGGAGTACTGCAGCACCATAAACACCCTTCTGGATAGACCTGGTTAATATTGGGTTGTTCAGAAAGTAATTTCATTTTTTTTACCACTAGACGGATTAGTCATATTTTTTGTGCCATTTTTATTCTAAACCGTATTATCAATATATATTTTGACAGCTGGCATTTTAAAGCTTACTTGTAAAAAATTTTGTTTGATTTTGTGCAATTGTTTAATTTTGTGTCCCATCAAATATGGAAGATTGAAAGCAGCATTTTTGGCATATTTTGCTCTTTTATTACCAATGCTGTTCAAGAAAGAAAAAAAATTGTGTGATGTGTATGGAGAAGATGTATTGACAGAACGACAGTACCAAAACTGGTTTACAAAATTTCGTTCTGGCAATTTCAATATTGAAGATGCACCATGTTCTGGATGGCCAGTTGAAGCCAATGAAAACAAAATAAAGGTACTGATTGAAGCAAACTGCCGAATAACAACATGTGAAATCACTAAGAGATTAAATTTGTCAAATTGAACTGTTTATGATTACTTAAAACAAATTGGTTTCGTTTCAAAGCTTGATATATGGGTTCAACATGTTCTTAAACAGAGATGTTCTCTTTGGTGGGATTTTAAGAAAATTTTTTTTGGAGCTTTTACCAGACAATTTAACAATTGATTTGAAAGTGTACTGCCATTGAGTAAATAAATCGAGTAATATCATCAAACAGAAAAGGCAGCCAGAATTGATCAACAAAACAGGTGTAGTGTTTTACCATGACAATGTCAAATTTCACACAAGTTAGGTAACTCGTCAGAAACTGTTATAACTTAGATGGGACTTGCTATCATACCAACCATATTCGCCAGATCCAGTACACTCAGATTATTACTTTTCTGGTCTATATAAATTTTTTTTAACTGTAAGACATTTACTTGAAATGACAATGTCAAAAATCACTTGGATCAGTTTTTTGTAAGCAACAATCAAAACTTTTATAAATGTGAAATCATGCTACTACCAGAAACGATGACAACAGATATTTGACCAAAATGGTCAATATATAATTCAATAAAATGTTTATTTATTATAAAAATATTGTTTTTTTTTCCACGGTAAAAAAACAAAATTACTTTCCAAACAACCCAATATAATATAAAACATAAAATTCATAAACAAACTGATGCAGATGTGAGTTTCCATCAACATCTTAAATAAAGATTAAAAGAAAAAAGAAAATATATAAAAAATACAAATTAAAAAAAAAATTGAATAATTATAAACAAACATGAATTTGTTACTGTTAATTATGCTATTCTTGCTTTACACTTTTTTCCTAACAGCAAAATTCTTTGGATTTCTTTCAGTGAGCTAAAACAGGTACTGATGTTTTTCATAAAAGCAAAGTAACATAAAGCAAACTTTGGTAAAGCAAAAGATACCTGTATTAGGGTGCATCCACATATTCACTATTTGCCAAGTGCCAAACAAACATTTGGTGAATACCGAGTAGTGTGCATGATTTACTCATGTCAAATATTCAATATTTGCCTTTTCCCAATTCCTGTTGGTAAATTGTGCTGAATCAAAGATGATGATTTACCTCCACACATATTGTCCATCCATAGGTAAATTGTATTGAATCAAAGGAGACAATTATTTACCTCCACATATATTGTCCATCCATACATTTGTGTATTTTTTTGGTTTTTCTCATCATGTTGCCATTTTAGTCCTATAATTTTTTTTCAATTTGGTTTATAGTTTAAATATTTAGTTTATTTTGTTTATTACATTTTTATTGTGTTGTTTTTTTTTTTAAATTATTTTCTTTTTCACATTCACATTTATCTGCTTTGGTGAAGTGATACTATCCACCATCTTATTTTTTCATTAACAGATAGGAACTATTCATATGTATAAAAGCAGCAGTGCAAATTATTGTTTGAGATTTGTCCATTTTCTACATCTCAGATGAATATTCATTATTCTCATAAGGAATGCTTGGTAAGTAATCATGTGTGTGTACAGTACATGTATGCTCATGAAGTGATAAACACTGGAAAATACTTTGGTAAAAAGCAAATATTTTGGCAAATACCAAATATGTGGATATGCCCTTAGGTTTGTCATTGATTAGATCTTTTTTTAATATTCACAATGGGTTGTATTGTCAAAAATGAAATAACTCAAGCTGAAGTTATTTCTTAGAAAGAAATTCTGTTCAGGTTATAGATTCCAATCATTTTCAAAGAATCCCTTTTCAGCTTAAGCATTCCAATTATTCTCATTTTGATTTGTTTCCTATATTTGCTTTTCTAAGATTATCAAAAAATTTTAATAATTTTAATTTTTTGTATATCTCAATATATATGGATACAAGGGATATTGAGAAAACTCACTCTATAAATGTTGAACAAGTCAAGGAGAGTTTAAAATCACCTTAAACTCCATTTAATTCCAACCCTGAGCTTACCACTTTGCAGAACCTGGGATCAAATCCAGGTAGTAAAAAGAGCCCAAAATTATTCAGGGATAGTCTGTCCCTCAACACCTAGCCACCCCTTTATGGGTTTTCTAAGTGCCCACAGGTAAAAAGACCAATAAGTTAGTAGTTCATAAGAAAAAAATTTAAGATTATTATTATAACCTATATTATTTTATATCATTACATTTTAAAGGCATTTCTTTTTTTGCTATCTTATTTAATATATCAATTTTAGTAATTTTATGTATTTCAATGTACATTGCAATTAGGATGACCAATCATCTTAATTTATCTGAGATAATTATGGCATCTGCTGTCTTATCTTGGACATCTTCATGAAAAACTATATTACCACATAGCTTTTTTCTCATAATAGTTAAAATCTTATCTGGAAACATGAGTGTCCATAGAGGAGGGACAAATGGTGCATTTCTCCTTCTCTGGGAACAAGTAAAAATTCCACAAATTTTAATTGTAAAAGTGATTGATATGTAACCTTACACTCTTAATTAACTATGGACTGCTTTATCTATCTTTTTGTATTGATGCAATCTATAATTTACTTGTAAAAAACAAAAAATTAAATAATTAAATAAAAATTTATTGATGTAATTATTGGTTTCCAAGCTCTTTTTTACTTGTTCCCAGGGAAGGAGAAATGCACCATTTGTCCCTCCTCTATGGACACTCATGTTTCCAGAAAATATTTAATTTGACTAGCTCTTATAGTAAAAATCTGAATGTGTCTAGTTTAAACCATTTTTTCAATTTGAAATATTTTTTGTTTTCATAACTATACAAATTATTATCATCTAGTGTGCAATAATAAAATAACAACTCATAATTTCCTGTTCAGAATAGCAAGCAGTGTTGGATAGCATTTTTTTCCGGTTTTTATATTTCTAGCAACAAACAATTCAATGGATAAACCATTTTTATATTCATTATTATTAACATAAAAAACCCTGTCTCATTTTACCAATTTTGAGAACTGGCAAGTCTAGCTATAACTGGCATCCAATAACTTTCAAAATTTGCTATTAAAAATATTTTTATTTTGAATAATTTTAAGTTTTCAATCTGCAAGATTTTATCTAATTTCTATAGACTTTCCTAGTTTGGAATATGAAGCTTTTTACTTTATTTCATGTTTAAAAATATCTTTTAAATTGAGATAAATAATTCATTTCACAGAATTATATAATAAAATTGTTCCATTAAAACTTGAACAGGATGCATATTTTTTTACAGTAAAAACTTACCTACTAAGAGAATTAATGGTAATACAACATGGAATAAGCAAACACACAGTGCTTCTCTTACTAACATATTTGAGATTCACATTCAAAATTCCTGTAATAATAATTAAAATTTATTTATTTATAACTGAATTTTATAACACAAATTATAATTAATATTTTAAATCTAATTATCACTTAATTACAATTAAATATTTTTGAACAACTGAAAATATTTATGAGGGGATAATCAATCAAATATAGTATATGTAGCAATAAATTTAAAGTTAAAAAAATATATATATATATATATTGTATCTCAAAAATTAGATTGATTATAAACACTGTTTTAAAATGAAATGATTGTTCAATTTTCTTAAAGTATTATATCATGCACATGTTAACTGCAGTGATATATCCAGGATTTTGAGAATACAGGTGCTGTTCAAGGCAGATTTGGGAAGACCAAGCCAAAAAATTTTTTTAGTGTTTGTTACTCAATTACCTTAACATTATTTTAGTTGCCAAATCTTGCCTAATTGAAGTCATACAATATGCATTATTGAATTTTTAAGTAACAAGACTGAATGCTTTGGTATCAAGACTGAATGATTTGGTATCACTATAAGAACTCTCATTGGATATGCCCTTGGTTGAATGATATCAATATATTTACATTTTCTTACTTTTAAACCAATACAATATTAACCAAAGCTTTAAAAAATTTTTAACAACAAACATTAAATCACATTCTCATGTGAAAAAAGCAGCAATCCAAAATATTTAAAATTAGAATATAAACAAGCAACGTTTTTGAAACAAGAAAAAGATATAGAAAAACAAACAAATACATATCTCCAGCTGATACAAATAGAGTATACTGATAGAAAACTCTTCAGATATCTGTTCAATGAAGAATGCATTGCCCAGAAATGCCATGTCTATGCTGTTCTCCAGATGGAATTATCAGAGACAGTGACACACATTATTATTAGAAGCATCTACAGTTCAGGTATCACAGAAATGACCCAAAAATTTTTAGAGTTGAAAGTTTTGAGTCATTTAAAAACTTTTACCTAAAATAAAGTTCTCTCAATCAGAATTTTCATTATTGGGATGCAATTTGAAAAAAATTATAGACCTATAAATTCCCACTCTTTCCTTAATCTCGAGAATGGAGTTAGATAGATGAAAGACAAGACTAGATATGGAAATCTTAGGGGCAGGAGGCCCTGATTAACTATATACGAGTTTCCGATGCTAACCAGAAGTCATGTTATTTCAATTCAAAAATTTTGCCTTGAAATGTGTTAATTAGATAGATAACAAGCATGACTCCATTGCTAATGGAAAAGTATGATGTACAGGGGCAAACCACTACTAATTTGAGGTGGAGCATATATTTTAAATGAAATAAATTAAAAATTGCAGCCTGACATTGTGATGTCACAATAAATAATTGCATCATCATTTTAATCTACTCATGCATGATGTAAGACCAGTGGTAATTTTGGTTTTATGCTAGATAAGTACTGATATGGCTATTTTATGTAAGTTTATACAGCTAAAAGTTCATATCAGATAATACTTAATATAGTACAAGCTAGGATTATAACCCTCTTTATTGTCTATTTAACAGTGTTTTTATGTCCTCTTGTCAATTCTGTCATCAACAGAAGCAATAAGTCAAGTTGTTCAGCATTTTGGTTAAGGAAACTAATATACTAATAGGTTGTGGATAATGCCTTTTGCTAACAGGTAAACAATACATTCCTCAACAAACAAGAAGTGATGATGTAAAATATAGCTGAACAACCAGTTTTTGGTTAGCTACATGAAAACACACCTTATATACTTTATTAGAACTGCATTTTTAGGAACGCATTCTCAATTGATGATATTGAAAATTAAAATGTCATTTTGATTTTCAGTATCATCAATTGTCTATCATAGATGATCTGTTGTCGACGCCAATTAGGTGCCTTGCATAATAAAACAACATTCAATGGTTGCACTATAATAATAGCCTAATAGTCGAACCAATGACATAGCCAGTTTCAAACGACACAGGCTGTCATTTGCTTATTCAGCCAAATTAAAGCAACTTTACTAGTCAATGCTCGAAAACTTACAAATGATCCATGATTCTGGAGCCCCAAAACATTTTTTTCTTATAATTTTAAGAAGTCTTAGGACTTGATAATTAAAAAGTTTAAATCGGGTTTGTTTTACTTCTATATTTATTTTATTCTATATTAGAAAATTGATGTTAGTGAAAAAACCAATTCTGTTTTCAGAATGGCAACAGTTTATTTTCTTTTAACAAATGAATCCCACTATTGGGAAGTGTGAAGTGCCTCCAATACCTTTTTGGTTGTCTCATTGCCAAGTATAAGAGTAAGGAAAAAGTGTCAGGGAAGAGATTGTCATCTCCTTTTATACCACCTTGCGTGCCCTGTTGGCCTCTGGTCTCATGTCACAAGTACACCCCAGTGCCAATGATGCACAGCTCAAAGGTATCTACAGTTAAACTGAATGCATCATCCAGACCAAATTGTGGTGGTTGGTTCTTGGGTTGGAGTGGCAGGATTCAGAGGGTTGTTAGTTGATATTAGTTTTTGAAACTTCATTCTTACTTTGCCCATGGGCTATTGCGGCAAAGTCCAGACGGGAGTAGTTGGATGCTGTTGATCCAAGAGTGTGTGTGTCAGCTACAGTGTTCTCAGAGCCATGTGTGTCTGATATCTCTGCTAAATTAAACAATAAAGTTGAGTTGACGGAGTTGGTGGGGAAAACAGAATGTAAACTTTTTGTCAAAGGCAAAAATTAGTAGTCAGTGGTTGCTAAGATAAAGTATCTTTCTTCCAGTTGGTGTCAAAAATGTTTGATTGATGCATATATACTAAGAAGTTCTCTGTCGTAGGTGTTATACTTCTGTTCTGCATCTGTCAGTTTACGAGAGAAAAAGATAAGAGGACGTGGACCTTGGTTGGTATGACATTGGAGAACAGATCCAATTGCAAGATATGAAGCATTGACCATTAAGGATAACTTGCTGTTACTTGGCTGGAATGCCAGTTTGGCAGCCTTTCCTAGGTCTGCTTTGCATTGATTGAATGCAGGCAGATATTGCTTCTGTAGCCCATGGAACATTGTTTATCATTCTTTTCAATGCCTTTCACAAAATGTGTAGAGGTGCTTGAATGGCTGCAGCATTTGGAAGGAAGCAGCAGTAGAAGTTTAACATTGTCACAAAACATAGTACAGAGATTGTTTGTGGCTGTGGAAAATTCTGAATGATCTGCACCTTCTCGGGTGTTGCAAATACCAGGATGGAGAGTTTGTTCTCTTGTATTGTTAGGTCCTCTGTTTTTCAATTGAAGTCATGCTCAAGAACTACTCCTGTCAATCAATCAAAGCATGCAACATGATCAGCTTGCGTATTTTATCAGCCATGTCAACAAATTGTGGCAAGGCCAAAACAGCTTGAGCATTCCCCAGAAGTTGCTGGAGCCACAACTTTAGCAAATCTTTACTAAAGTGTATGCTGACAAGATCACATATTTTTGTGAGCAGTTGTGATGGCCATTGGTCGCTTATCTCCAGCCCTTGTAATAGATGTTTGGCTTTCCACATAAATACCGATTAGTCTCCTTTTGATTGTATCATATTTATTGTACTCAGGCAGTTTTGTCACTGCTGTGTATGAATTTTAAAATTATAATCTTCTCACTTGAATACTGGAACCATATAAAATTAAAACTCCAAAACCTTTAAACATCCAGTAGTAATCAATTTACTAATAAACAAATACTGTTAAAAATCCGTTTGTGCTGTTCCATTTTTCAAATTTAATTTCATAATCATTGTTCTACGCTTGCACAGGTTCGAATCTAACTGATTTTAAACCTGACGAAGACAGAGATTACGGTCGAAAACGTTTGTTTATTAGTAAATTGATTACTACTGGATGTTTAAAGGTTTTGGAGTTTGAATTTTAAAATGTCCGATTCACTCGTTGAGATGACATAGTAATACTTGTTACGTCAGCGGAGATGTTAGCAATGGTGAATATAGCCTCACATTGCACAAACCGCAGATCTGTGTTCTTTTTCCAAAATGGAGGTGGTTTAATTAACGGCCACACGGAAGACTCGGGGAACTTCAATAGGCTCCATGTCAAATAACGGCGATTTTTAGTGTTAATACAGCTCGAGGACTGTTACTGACCTGTTTACATAGCGAAAATGTTAAATTTCGCTTCCTTCAGGATTTTCGGTTTGAAGATGGAAACGGATTGCGTTATCTTCACAAGGCACATATTCGGTTTTGAATGTCTTATTATCAAGGGTAAGGAATAAGTGTCGGCGAGATCATCGTCTCGTCTTGCAACAGCTATTGGGCACGAGCTTCTAGACTATATCGCCCCCTGGTAAAGTGTGACGTAACTGCCATTAATAGTAGTTGTATGCGTTTATGATGGGCGAGCGTCGTCTCCTTTTATACCGCTTTGCTCGCCCACTGCCGGTCTCTGGTTTCATATCACGAGGGCGCCACATCTTAAATCCGTCACTGAGTAGACAATGGGTCCACCAGTGGCCAAGCGGTTCCGTTCCCTAAACACTGGTCATACGTAGGTTCAACCGAATGTCACAAGAATGTCCACGCGCCTCGTCAGGACGGGCTGGCCACGTGGAGTTTTCCGGGTTTTCTCCACGATTTTAACGTCTAAATAGGAGCCATATTACCCTTATAAGACCTTCCGAAAGTCATTTCCCCCGGCTCTTTGCGAGTAATTTCATATGGTCAAGCAAAAAAGCTTCAACCGGTTCTTCGGAGATAAGCGACTACTAACCCCGATACTTAGTTTGCTTACTTTGCTGCTTGACAAACAAACGCGCCCATACATGTCAATGGTTGATTAATCATTTTGACAACCAGTACAATGTGAAGTATTATATTGGCTGTCAACATGATTAGCGCGATGTGAATCATACGACTAGACATCCATTATGCCAAATGGATTAGGCTAGTCGCACGACCCACTGATACATAATAGAATCTCCCAGCATAGATATGACGCTCCAAGCCGTAGCAACTCATTATAAATCATGTTCTGAAAATGGATTCTTCACGTCGGTAAAGTGTTACAAGGGAGTGAAGGCTGATTTTGCGACTCGTACCAATGGAATATGGCTGACACCGATAGCCAATCAGAATTGTCAGACTGAAGGAAACAAAAATCCCTTTCAAAAATCATTCATACACTTTAGTGGCGCATTGAGAATAAGGTGCCTCTCGACCCATAACATGCAAGCATCCCTAAAGCAATAGTGCCTCTTTTTCACTGAATGATTCTATATTATAATTTTAATTCTACAAGAATTATACGTTTACAGATTTTTAAATATCAAAAGGGCAAAGGGCACTCCGTTGAAAACCTGTCATTAGTAACTTACTACAATCCGTCACGCAAAATATATTCCTACTAGTGTTGTAACGAATAGTATATTCGGCCTCAGGCCGAATACCGAATATTCGGCCGAATAGCCGAATATTCGGCCAAACTATTCGGCTTGATTAACGTACATACGAAAATTGGCGTGCAAACCGCATTATGGCAAGAATCCTGCTCTCCATTGGCCCGCTGTCACTACGCTTCGCCAATCGTGTTAATTCTTGGCAGTTGTAGCGGACAGACAAGAGTGTCATGGAAGTACAGTAGAACCTCGATTATCCGGACTAATTGGGGATGAAGGTAGTCCGGATAATCGAAACAAATACTTCAATTTGTCTTTTAATGATAATACAACACGTTTTCTTTTCGATGACATATCGGTGATATTAAAAGTAAATACTGTATTTAAATCGTGGTCAAATTTTCAAGAAACAAACGTTCGTATTGAATTTGGACTACTACTGACCAACGCTAACAGACTACCTATTGTTTAAAAGGCCCTCTGGTGGCGCAAGAAGACGGATTTTATAAAATAAAAAGCAGTTGAAACTGCATTTTTATGAATAAAAATTTGACAAACTATTTATCGTTTTATGACGAGTAAAATTTTTTCGTCGCGTTCGCGGCTTTTAAGTAATGCATAAACCTTCGAGGCGCGAGGCCCTTCGGACCGCGAGGCATAGGCGGTGGCCCACGTCGTCCATGCCTTACGCCGCCCTTGGTCATAGAAATGATGTAATTTGAATATAAATTATTTATAAATACGTATGTCAAGTTATATTTTTATTACTACGTAAAATATATTTAAGAGTTTACGACCACTGTGCTGGGTGAGACGTTGTTGAAACAAAAAAAGTTATGCATTCCATCACGTACATAAACAGTGTCGTAATTCGCCAAGTGCAAATCAGCAAATTCGTAAAATTTTTGTTTATTTTGAACAATCCGGATAATCGAAAATCCGGATAATAGAGGTCCGGATAATGGAGGTTCTACTGTATGTGATAAATGATGATATCAAATGTGGATAACAATGAAATGATCTACGCGTGTAAATAACGGAAAAAGAACAGAGAAGGACCGCGAAGTGAAAATGTGGAAATAAATAAGAAATTGAGTTGATAACATAATCGAACAAGTCGAGGCAGCTTATTGGCACGAAATTCGCAGCCGTCAATGCCAAACAATTGTTGTCGTAGACTTCGGAAAGCTAAATGCTTGTAATGAAAGTCACTTAGCGTGCACGGGCGAAAACCTGGGGCCGTTCGGGCTATCAAGCTGTTTAGAATCTGTGAAATCAAAACTATGACTTATATCGACGTCCTATCTGTCTCTTTTCTTTGTTATCATCAGGCTGTCACGTAATTGTAAAATGGAAACTCTACGACGGAAAAGTGACGAATCGAAAGTATCGTGAGCGTGTATTATGATGTATGCACAGGCATACGTGGATTAGAGCGATAGAGGAAAGAGAAAAGAAAGAACAAAGACGAGCGCTTAAAAAGAAGGATAGGCAGGGTCAGATCCTCAGATGTGCGAGGATTCTCTAACGATAGACGTGTATACGTGTGCTGATCTTTGTAATTATAAATTGCGAATACATGTGACTAATATTATTTTCATTTTTATTTTGCGCATGTTACAAGTTATAAATACTGTAAATATAAACAAACAACACTAACTCGATAACATTAAATCTAAATACCAAAATGATTAATTTACTGTGTTTTTGTTATTTATTACTCCTTCTTTTAGGTATTCGGTATTCGGCCGAATAGTGATTAAATATTCGGTATTTGGCCGAATAGTGAAAAATAGGCCGAATAGGCCGAATAGTAACCGAATATTCGTTACATCACTAATTCCTACATATATTAACACTACTCAATCGATGTATTATTTTGTTTCTATTAAGCTTTCAATTTGTATTAGTTCATTTGTGAATTATTTTTTCACTATTTTATCGTTATTATTATTTTGAATTTTTTCATCCCAAACTCTTGCGCCTCTAGGTAGAGCCTAATGGGAAATCCACCGCTGATACACTAAAAAATACCTCTCAATACAAATTCAAAAGCCAGGAAGGAAAATTAATTAATGTTTTGAATGTTGTAATGAAAATTTGCGAAATATCAAGCCCTTATCTAGAAAATCGTGTGACATGA